AAAAAAAAAAAAAAAAAAAAAAGAGGAAGGGGCAGGAAGCAGAGGAGGTGGGTGTGGAGATTGAAGCTGGGAAAGAGAAAGTTTCTGCCATGTGGGCCAGCGGTGACCCCTGCCCCCTGCCCTCCAGGAAAGCATCCCTTTTGCAGTCGTGGGTTCATGCGAGGTGGTGAGGGATGGCGGGAAGCGACCGGTGAGGGGACGCCGCTACTCCTGGGGGACCGTGGAGGGTGAGTGAGGCCAGGCAGGGTTCCTAAGGCCAGCAAGGAGCCCGGGGCCTCTGGGTCAGGCGCACTCAACATGTGAAGTTGGGGTGGGCTTTGGTCCCAGGGGATCCTAGGGGGAAAGGGGTTCTCCTTTCCATGGGCTGCAGACCGCGGACCCTCCGCTAGAGTGGCAGCAGGACTTCCCTGTTGACCCGACCCTACGGGTGGGTGGGACCCGAAACTCCCTGACGTTCGCTGGTCCGCGCCGCCCCCCCTCCAGTGGAGAACCCACATCACTGCGATTTCCTGAACCTGCGACGGATGCTGGTGCAGACACACCTGCAGGACCTGAAAGAGGTGACGCACGATCTGCTCTACGAGGGCTACCGGGCCCGCTGCCTACAGAGCCTGGCCCGGCCTGGGGCTCGCGATCGAGCCAGCCGCAGGTGAGACCCGGGGCCGACAGTCTCGGAGCCTCCAAGGTTCCGCCTCACCCAAGACCCTGCCCTGAGGCCCCGTCCCCACCACCCGTGAGTCCGCCTTCACCACTCAGACCTCTCTCTCCCTCCCTCCCTCTCTCCCTTCCTCCCTCTCTCCCTTCCTCCCTCTCTCCCCACCGGCTTTGCCTCCGGCCCTAACCTCAGGGACCTGGCTCCGCCTCCTAGACCCCAATCTCGCCCCAGGCCCTGCCTCCTGGGCCTCACCCACAACCTCAGGCCCTGCTCCTGATTCCTGTCCCCTTCCCACTGTCCCGCAGTAAGCTTTCCCGCCAAAGCGCCACGGAGATCCCGCTGCCCATGCTGCCTCTGGCGGACACCGAGAAGCTGATCCGCGAGAAAGACGAAGAGGTGAGCATGCACCTCGCTTCCCCCCGACAGAGGCCCCAGGTCCCTCGCTGGCCTCGCCAGGTCACCGCCTGCAATCTCGCCCTGCACAGCTGCGCCGCATGCAAGAGATGCTAGAGAAGATGCAGGCCCAGATGCAGCAGAGCCAGGCCCAGGGCGAGCAGTCAGACACCCTTTGAGGCCACGCCCCTCCCGGCCTTACCTCGGCTCCGCCTTCAGTCGGCCTCTTGTCCAATCCCCGCGCCCCACACTGCCCAGCGCCCCCTGGAACCCCGTGGGTGCCGCCCTCGCGCGGGCTAGGGGGAGGTTCTACCAGCC